ACATATTTGACCTAAGAACAGTGAGAAGCAATTTTTTTCACATGGATTTTAGTATAGGCCTACCATTAGGCGCATTCACACCGCAGTACTTTTCCCACAAAGGTTCATGAGAATTTAGTTCATGAGAACTCTTTGAACCTGGGGGAGGATTAGGCAAATGAAGCCGCTGACGTCACTTCTTCTTCTTCTGCTTTGGGTTTACTGGCAGGCCGCAAACCACTTCACGGCGTATACTGCCGCCCAAAGTCCCCGGCCGGAAGTCCCCGGAGTTAGGGACTGCTTCAGTAGAAGCTGCTGGGAGTCCCAGCAGCCTTCCGAGTAAATCGCCAGAACGCCGACACCTCCTCATCTCCACCACTCCCATGTTTTATTTTGTGTTGCCATAAGTTAGTCTCTCTGCGTTTCTGCGCTGGGCTAATGCTAATAATGCTAATGCGAGGATAATAAAATGGCGGCTTCACAAAAGAGTTTTACGGGGCGTGGTTTGCAATCCGCCCAGCCAATCAGAAATATAGCTCTTTTCTCACAAGAGAGCCGCACGAAAGTCCCTGCTCCCTAGCAGCTCTCTGCTCTCTAGCAGGGACTTTCGTGGGGGTAAAAAGGTTCTCATGAACGAATTTTAGTACCGGCTCTTTTTGGTGTGAACGCGATAAAAGAGGCTAACGTCCACGCTAGCTGCTATATGTTTTGCATTGAGGTGATACTTGAGGCTTGATGTGCTGCGGTGATATGCGAATTCCTTTTTGCATAATTTGCACACAACCGTGCTCTTATCGACGCTTCCATCCGTCCATTTTTTTAAACAACATTTCCCACTGTTGTTCACTGTGGTTTGTTGTTGTCTGAAGTCATGAACGTTAGTTGGTGCTCCAGTATAATCGGTACGCCTGAAACTCATCCAGTGAGAAACGTTCCGCGGTGCAAAAATAAGTGCGATTAAAATGCGTTAATTTTTTTAACGCGTTAATTTTTGTGTAATTAATTAATCTTAATTAACGCGTTAAAGTCCCGGCCCTACAATTTACATACCTAGATGCACGTGTGTTGTGTTTATGCAGTGCAACTCCCACCCAGTGGGTGGCTATGTAGAGTGATAGAACAGAGCAGGCACGCCCCCGAGAGAAGGAAAGCAAGTCACGTCACAAATGAGCATTTCTAAAATGTTAGCGTGGATTAATAAAAGTGCAAAAAGACAGCGGTTGTCGCCGGAAGAAACTTCAAATACAGAGAATGCTGTGCCTGTGTTGGAAATTGTGTCTGATGGGGAGCTTTCTTTGGTTGATCCTCCTGCTCCAAGTTCTAGTGCATTAGCATTAGCACTAGCTCCGCCGCCTCCTCCAGAGCCTCTAACGTTAGCTGCTGCTGGCGCAACTGCCACCACCAACACCGGGCAAAGCGATGCACCTGACTGCTGGACAACGGACCAGGTGTAATATTTTTGCAAGACCAATGCATGGCTCCTTCTTAAAGATAAGAAGCTAGGATGTCGGATATGCAGAGATGTCAAATCTTTGGGAATACACACTGGACAAGGACTGAAACTGTCAACTGAATGGGGTGAGTGTGCAGTGTCTCATTTCGGTGTTGACAAGGGCAAACAACAAGCTAGCCTGAGAAAAAAAATCAAAGAACATAAAGAATCACAAGCCCATTTAAAAGCTGCTGACATCCTTACATCTGCTTCACGTGAAACTATTCAACATCAAGTGCAGTCTATGCATAAATCTGAATTAGACACCACTCAGAGTTTTTCGAACGGCATATAAAATTGGCAAACATAGCCGGCCATTCACAGACATGCCAATTGATTTGAATGTACAGAAACTGAATGGGCTGAACGTGGGCAGGGTTTTGCACTCCAATAAAACCTGTGGCGAAATCATCGACCACATAGCTCATGAGCTGAAGAAAAAAATGGCAAAAGACATTACAGAAAACCAAAGAAAACTCTGTGTTTTGGTCGATGAATCTACCACTATTAGTGGTAAAACGGTGCTTGTTGTGTGTCTACGCTCAGCATTAGCTGATGCTGAGCCCGAAACGTTTTTTTGGGAGCTGATCGAGTTGGATGGAACAACGGCTGATGACATCACAAAGGCGTTAATGGAGTGTCTTGGAAGAGATTTTAACGAGGACTTTTTAGGTCAGTGTTTCGTTTCTTTTGCATGTGATGGGGCTTCAGTCATGCTAGGGAAGAGAACAGGCGTTGCTACCCAGTTGTGTAGTAAATTCCCAAGCCTGTTTGTGTGGCACTGCTCCAATCATCGTCTAGAGCTGGCAGTTGGGGATGTGGTCAAGGAGGTCTCAGGGCTCAATCATTTTCAGATCTTTTTTGACAAACTCTATTCCTTGTTCCATGCCTCCCCCAAAAATCAGAGGCAGTTAGCGCAGTGTGCGCAAGCAGTCGGACAGCGTCTCCTGGTGATAGGGCGTGTTTTGTCCATCCGCTGGGTGGCTTCAAGTGAAAGGAGCGTCAGAGCAGTCTGGGAAAACTACCGAGTGCTTCATGATCACTTCACAAATGCTGCAAACGACACGAGCAGGGATTCCAGAGACAGAGCAAAGTACAAGGGCCTGGATGATGTGCTCACATCTGCAACGTTTGTCAGCAATCTGGGACTGATGTACGATGCGCTCACAGAGCTCAGCGACCTCTCTCGGCAACTCCAAAAAAGAGAGATGACACTGCCTACAGCAGATAGGCTCTTAACTCGAGAAATACGAGTTTTTGAATCCATGGTCACCATGCCTGGCCCACACATGACTACAGTTCATACAGCTCTAGCTGAGAAGTCCTTCAAGGGTGTTGCCCTGCGTGAGAATGGCAGGCTTGTACAGATTCATGCAGGTCAGTTTTTCCGCAGTATGGTAGAGAATCTGAGACACAGAATGACTTCCACAACCTCCTCTCATGTCAGCACAAGAGAAATCCCATTACATGGCCGGGAGGCCCGGGACAATCAGCTAATCCAGGACATGAAAGTTATCCATCCTGGAAGTTGGCCTGAAGAGGAGTTAGACGTACAGTATGGGGACGTAGAGGTGCTACGTTTGTGCGAAGTGCTGAAAGTGGACAGAAGAGAGACTGTTCAGGGCTTTCGCGAATACAAGGAAACCAGGGCATCCCGTACACCTGCTGCCATGGAGCCTCTACTGAAAGCAGTCAGAACCATCGCTGTCTCCACTAGTGAGTGTGAGCGGGCATTCAGCTGCATGAACGATATCCTTACTGCAAAAAGGAATGCTCTCTCTGTCAGCCGACTGTCCAGCCTGGTTTTCATTAAATGTAATGGACCATCACTAGGACAGTTCAATCCGGAACAGTATGTGAGGTCCTGGCTGGCAAAGGGAAGGAGAAGTGCTGATGAAAGAGCCTGTCCAGCTCCAGCCCCTGATACTGATGTCCCCAAGGCCTTCTGGAGCCTTTTCTAACAATGTGAAGTATATTGCAAAGCAGCTCACCCAGTGAGAAGACTTTTGGCATAATGTGCCGATTTGTACAGATCCTGGAGATAGAAGGACTTCAGACCAACCAGGGAGTTATCTGATCAGCTTGGTGTTCAATGTAACTCTTTACCATGGCTCAGACTTTGTTACTTGCAGTTACAGTTTCTCATTTTAGATTGTGCAAATTTTGCATTTGTTTTTACATGTTCTTTGTTCATGCTCTTTATCATTTTTCTGAGTTGGAAAGTTAGATTGCATCATAGTTTACTTTATACATATTTGTATTCTTCAGTGGTGAAGTATATTGCAAAGCAGCTCAGCCATGTGAGAAGACTTTTGGCACTTTTTCGTTTTTCGTTTTCTGAGTTGGAAAGTTAGATTGCATTCAAAATGTACAGAAATACTTAATTTTGTTAAAGCTTTTTATAAAAAATGCTTCTGACCAGAGCTTTGTTTCCTTGTCATTAATGTTGAACACCACCAGAGGGGCTCTCACCTGAAAGGTCTCTGCTTCATGTGTCTTCAGCAGAAGATCTAGACTTTGATTGCTATATTTTCAGTTAATATTGACCTTACTGAGCTTTAGCCATATCCGCTGCCTATCATAAAAAATGTTAAGTACAGTGAACCTTTCTAAAATATACAGTAGTAAAGAGACAAACCCACCAGCATTATAGTAGCCAAATTCTTGTTTGTGGGCTGTATATATAAAATTGACTTGAAAAAGTTGCTGATTTTAGAGTACTGGCACCTTTTTCATTCCAATTCAAGCACTGCTTATATGATTACAAATAAAATAAAAACCGGCAAAGTGGCAAGGCTTGCCCACCCTGCGTTGGGGGGGGCACAGTGACTCATTTGGGGGGGCATGGCCCGCGAATGACCCCCCATGATGTTGACCCTGCCTGAGACACAGTTTCGTGAACACTGTTGTTGTTTTTAGTCCCCCGGGGGCGGGGACTCCGGGCTTAACAGGTTTAAGGTGGTAATTATATTTTAAAACTTAAGTATTGCTACATTTACTTAATGTAAACTTTTACAAAAAGACTAAGGACAGTGTAGGAGCCATTGTATGGGTGATGCTTGATTTCTATTGTTATACTTGCTATCTGAAATGCATCATTGCCCTGATCAAATTATTGGACATATTCCACAGAAAGAAAATGTATAAAATCCTCCCAAGTAAGGTTTAAGGTCTGATTACATAAAGCAGTCAAAACAAGTCAGGTTGAAATGAATACTTTTGGAATAGCATGCGTATTTAGACTGAAGTCAATAACTTCACATGAGAAACTCTAAGTTTTGAGATGTATCCAAATTGAACTGCCAGGTCAACCTTTTGTTCAGTTGTTGCTGATCAGAAATGTAAATCATGAGCGGTGCCTCATAGTAAACTGCAGCAATGTCACTTGTTTCTCAATAGCATGTAGCTAGTTGGACAGCAACATATGTCTGCAGACAGAATTGCATCTTTATTCCAAAATAAAAATCACAACCTGCACATATTTACTGGGTAGGGTTGCTATGTAAGTGTCAAATAAGGCAAGCATCAGTTTAAAAAACACAACACTTTATTATAACATTTGTAAAACATGTATATTATTAAAAACTATTTCGACCGAACATCTTTAGCTGGATTCTCGTCCCTAGGCGCCTTGGTCTTCTTGGGGACAAGGATTGCATGGATGTTTGGGAGGACACCACCCTCAGCGATTATGACTCCTGCCAGCAGTGTGTTGATCTCTGCGTCGTTTTTCACTGCCAACAAGATGTGTCGTGGAATAATGCGACGCTTCTGGTTGTCACGGCAAGCGTTTCCTGCCAACTCCAGGATTTCAGCACAGAGATACTCCATGACTGCTGCGAGGTACACTGCTGAACCATTGCCGATTCGCTTGGCATATTGGCCTTTCTTCAGCAGCCTGTGGATGCGGCCCACTGGGAAAGTGAGCCCTGCTCTGGAAGACCGGGACACAGATTTTGGTTTGGACACAGCTTTCTTTCCACGGCCAGACATCTTTAATCTGGAGTTGAGAGAAAAGTTTAGAGTCAATTCAAATCAACACATATCCCCCTTCAACTAGAGATCCCTAACAAAGAGCTGCTGTCTAAAATGAAGGCCTACAGAATTGTTGAGTCATAAGGCTAAATGGCTTTCATAGGGACCTCTTGGAACGTTTAAACATTAGAGCATCACCATCTTATAAAGCACAACATAACAAATTATACTCAAAACTCTTGCTGTAGAACAAAATCAAACATAAATGAACACTCACCAGTATTCTGCACTTCCTTCGAGACAGGAGCTACACACTGAACCACAGACTACTGGTTTTATGTGAGTCAACCAGTAATTGGTTGATTGATTACACCTGGCTCCTCTGCTTCATGGATGACCTTCAATTAAACCAGACAATGCTAATGATCACACACTAAGTAACACTGCAAGGACTTTTATTTTTGAATCAAAGGAGTCAGTTGTGCTTTCTGCACATCAACGCATTCAGCTATGGAGAGGTCAAATACCAAACTAAAACCTTTGTGAACTAGATCCCAATAACAGCCTAAAAAATATCCCTTCTAGCTTTAGATGTATGCGCTGTTAGTAGTAGCATAATTACCTAAACACACAAATATTGTTTAAATTAGTGGAACATTTAATTAAAATCAATTATGGAAATACAACCTGCTAATGAATCAAACTTTCGAGATCCCAAATGTGCTAATTAGATTAATACACTTTAAGCAAGATTTGTTTGTGTAAAGTGAAGTGGTCTGTAACTAAGACCAAGAAGTAAAGTAAGAGCCGTTTCTTTCTTTTTTTACTCTAAATTAAGATCTAAAATCAACTAAAGGCTATAAGTCAAGATGGATGTAGACCTGACACAATTATCATCTTTCCCACTTGTGCTGATAAAACTTCAACAGCAGATGGCAGCACAATCCTCAGATTTAAAACATGCTCCTTGAGACCCTAGTGCACCTGATAGGATTTTAACAAAATAGATGTGAACAGCGCCAAACGTTGAAGTTTTAAACCAAAATGTCAGCCCTTGAACTTAGACTCAACTTGAACTGTGTCTTTGCTCAGTTTTGGTTGCACAGTGAGGATACTTATACCGTTGGAATCCGTGGAATCTCAGCTTTCATGTGATATCTAGTTTGTGCAGATCCGATGAAGTATAACATATTTCTACCGTGAGTTATGTGCTAAGTGCGTCAGCACTCTTTCGCTTAGTGCCAATTCAGACGCTCGGCGTTAGAATTGTGTTTTGTTTAGGTAAAAATGGTACATATAGTCAGGTAGCTGAGTTTCTTCCAGTTAAGTGGGTATGACACATTAATAGGTTGTGAAATGTTAAGCCCTGAGACACAGTTTCGTGAATACTGTTGTTTTTAGTCCCCCGGGGGCGGGGACTCCGGGCTTAACAGGTTTAAGGTGGTAATTCTATTTTAAAACTTAAGTATTGCTACATTTACTTAATGTCAACTTTTACAAAAAGACTAAGGACAGTGGAGCCATTTTATGGGTGATGCTTAATTTCTATCGTTATACTTGCTATCTGAAATGCATCATTGCCCTGATCATATTATTGGACATATTCCACAAAAAGAAAACTGTATAAAATCCTCCCAAGTAAGGTTTAAGGTCTGATTACATAAAGCAGCCAAAACAAGTCAGGTTGAAATTAATACTTTTGGAATAGCATGCGTATTTAGACTGAAGTCAATAACTTCACATGAAAAACTCTTAAGTTTTGAGATGTATCCACATTTAACTGCCAGGTCAACCTTTTGTTCAGTTGTTGCTGATCAGAAATGTAAATCATGAGCGGTGCCTCATAGTAAACTGCAGCAATGTCACTTGTTTCTCAATAGCATGTGGCTAGTTGGACAGCAACATATGTCTGCAGACAGAATTGCATCTTTATTCTAAAATAAAAAAAATCACAACCTGCACATATTTAGGGTAGGGTCCTAGGGTTACTGTTGGCAGAGTTTATCCTACAAATAATCAGTGCAACTTGGGATTCCTCAAAGCGCATGCAGTTTCCTTAGCTAGGAAGAAAGACATTGAGCACTTTTCTTAGCATTCAACCAAATGTGCTCATCTGCTATGTAAGTGTCAAATAAGACAAGCATCAGTTTAAAAAACACAACACTTTATTATAAAAATAGCAAAACATGTACATTATTAAAACTCTTGCGACTGAACATCTTTAGCTGGACTCTCGTCCCTGGGCGCCTTGGTCTTCTTCTTGGGGACAAGGATTGCATGGATGTTTGGGAGGACACCACCCTCTGAGATTATGACTCCTGCCAGCAGTGTGTTGAGCTCTTCGTCATTTTTCACTGCCAACAAGATGTGTCGTGGAGCAATGCGATGCTTCTGGTTGTCACGGCAAGCGTTTCCTGCCAACTCCAGGATTTCAGCACAGAGATACTCCATGACTGCTGCGAGGTACACTGCTGAACCATTGCCGATTCGTTTGGCATATTGGCCTTTCTTCAGCAGCCTGTGGATGCGGCCCACTGGGAAAGTGAGACCTGCTCTGGAAGACCGGGACACAGATTTTGGTTTGGACAGAGCTTTCTTTCCATGGCCAGACATCTTTAATCTGGAGTTGAGAGAAAAGTACACATATCCCCCTTCAACTAGAGATCCCTAACAAAGAGCTGCTGTCTAAAATTAAGGCCTACAGAATTGTTGAGTCATAAGGCTAAATGGCTTTCATAGTGACCTCTTGGAACGTTTAAACATTAGAGCCATCACCATCTTATAAAGCACAACATAACAAATGATACTCAAAACTCTTGCTGTAGAACAAAATCAAACATAAATAAACACTCACCAGTATTCTGCACTTCCTTCAAGTTGAGACAGGAGCTACACACTGAACCACAGACTACTGGTTTTATGTGAGTCAGCCAGTAATTGGTTGATTAATTACACCTGACTCCTCTGCTTCATGGATGTCCTTCAATTAAACCAGACAATGCTAACGCTCACACACTATACCAAACTAAAACCTTAAAAAAAAAATCTCTTCTAGCTTTAGATGTATGTTAGTGGTAGCAGAATTACCTAAACACACAAATATTTTTTTAATTAGTGGAACATTTAATTAAAAATCATTTATGGAAGTACAACCTCCTAATGAATCAAACTTTAGAGATCCCAAATGTGCTAGATTAGATTAATACACTTTAAGCAAGATTTGTTTGTGTAAAGTGAAGTGGTCTGTAACTAAGACCAAGAAGTAAAGTAAGAGCTGTTTCTTTCTTTTTTTACTCTAAATTAAGATCTAAAATCAACTGAAGGCTATAAGTCAAGATAGATGTAGGCCTGACACAATTATCATCTTTCCCACTTGTGCTGATAAAACTTCAACAGCAGATGGCAGCACAATCCTCAGATTTAAAACATGCTCATTGAGACCCTAGTGCACCTGATAGGATTTTATCAGTATAGTATAGATGTGAACAGCGCCAAACGTTGAAGTTTAAAACCAAAATGTCAGCTCTTGAACTTAGACTTAACTTGAACTGTGTCTTTGCTCAGAAAAATACTTCTCATCCCTCCGCTTCATTGCTTAGGATAGGTATTGACATGACGCCTACACTCCACACATACAAACACAGCCTTTATATTTACAGAGCAGTATATTTTAACCAAAGGCATATTGCATTTTCAATGGGCAGGCCATGTATTAGTGTATATCCGTTGGTACCAGTTTCAACAGCATATTTATGGATGACAACGATTTGGCTGTCTTGGCTGAAGATATGACAGCCTCTTTCGTGGCATCATATGTAATAGTGTCCTTTTGTGGGAAAACCAAGCATCTGCAACCCTTATAAATAAAAGTCAAAGAGACGTGATGGACCAATAGTTTTAAACTTGCGCTTAGTCGGGCCTAGTATATTATGTTAAGTGTGAAAACATCCATATACAAATCCTCTTATGTACTTTTGTTGTGTTCACTAAATACATTTAACTTTTGCATTTAGAGTAGGTGAATATAGCAGATTCTATGAAAAGTGGAAGCTTACCTAAAATGGCTTTATACATTAATAAAAAAACAATGCTGCATCCTACGCATACTAAGTGAGGACCATCCAATTAGGCTATACAGTTTGCAATGATGAGTCCTATAGGGTGCATTTGATATATATCGCAGTGCAGCATGGTAGAGTGGGTCAAGTTTGGCCAAAACAGTGGGACAGGCAAATCTATAAATTGTATCACTGTAGTCAAGCTGGGACAGGAATAAGCCAGAGACCAACCATTTACGGGAAGAAATTGAAAAACAACATTTAAGTCTGTAAAGGAAGCCAAGAGTGAATTTCAATTTCTTAGTTAGAACTTCAATGTGGTGTTTAAAGTTTAGATTTCTGTCCAACCAAAAGCCCAGATATTTGTATGTATCGACAAACTCAACGGAGCTACGTTACACATTATTACATCAAGGGTGTCCATGGAAAGGCTAGAGGACGCTGACTTGGGAGCATGAAAGCATTGCTTTGGTTTTCTTACTGTTCAATAGCAGTTTTGAATCAAGAAGTGCATACTGCAGCGTGATCAAATCTGATTTTAAATTAGAAACGGCCATATCCAGAGAAGGAGCACATGAGTATACAATAGTGTCATCAGCATACATATGATAACATTGCATCTGATTACAAATATTGTTTACATTTAATAAAAAGAGCAAGGCCCCCAAAATAGAGCCCTGTGGAACTCCCTTCTCCAAGGTGACAGGGTCAGAGACAGTACTACCCAACCTGAGGCATTGAGTACGGTCGGTTAGATAACTCTGAAACCAGCAAATGGCGTTATGACCGAAACGAGACACCAACATAATATTAGACATAATGTGGTGATCTACAGTGTCAAATGCTTTGGCTAGGTCAATAAACAATGCAACACCAACAGATTTTTTATCCAAAGCAGCCTTAATATCGTCTGTGACTTTCAGACTGGCAGTCACAGTGCTGTGCTTTGATCTGAATCCAGATTGCATAGGGTTAAGGATGTTGTGTGAATTTAAAAAAAGTTTTAGCTGAGTAGAAACTAGGGAATCAAGAATCTTTGATAACACAGAAAGATTTGAGATACAGTAGGACGATAGTTATTCAACTCAGTGGGATCACCAGCTTTTAAGAGGGGCGATACAAGAGCTTGCTTCCACACAGCTGGCAGTGTGTGAGTGGACAGGGAGAGATTACAAAGAAGAACCAGTAACTGGTTGTGCTATAATCTGAGCTGGCATTTTTAAAAAGAAAGGGTCGAGTCCGTCAGGC